TTTGTTGTTGAGTTCAGCCATCAGCAAGCCACCATAGCCTTCGACCTGAGCGCAGATGATTTTCGCACTCTTCTGGGTCACGAACCACCCGACGGCGTCATACGGTGGATCAACGTTTGGTCACCGAGTACACAGCGTCCAGCTGTTGAGTGCATTGGTACTCGTTATAGCTTTTCACCGCGACTTCAGGCTCTCATGACGTCTGCTACGAAGGCATCCATGGCAGAGACTACGACTTCTGTCCAGCGTGTTAACCACGCGGATGTTGAAGCTGGATCCTCATCAACAGAGGCTAAGAATGCTTCGCCAAATGACGCCCGAATACAGATGTCGGAAGACATTGAAATCTATCACCTAGTCAAGGAAACAATGAACTATACATCCATAGATCATGGAAAGCAATGTATGTCGTGAAACGTGTGTCTCCAAGTTTCAAAGGGACCACTAACCAGTCTTTAGTCCTTTGCATCGGTGCAAACTGGCTACACCGTCGACCAATCAACCCTAGGCATGCGGAAGACAAGGCCGGTTTGCTTCCGCCGAAACATTGGTCATGGCTCACGCTTTGTTCGAACTGTAAGTCCTGCATCCTAAGTGGCCGGAAAGTTGACGTCTCGCGGGCATCTTCTGACTCTCCTCAGCCGTTGTCTTGTCCTTGCATGAGACACCGCCATATGTCTACCCAGAAGATGCGAAACTGGCAGATGAAGAGTTGAGAGGCATGCGGTCCAACACCATGGCGGTGCTTCGCCAACTGTCCAAACACGGTGTCGACGACTACAGCAACAATGTCATCACACTTAAATCAGTCAGGCAAGCGTTGCCTACTGCAGGGCCCGGGTGCAATGCCGCACGAGAAGGCTCAAGTAACCTGTATTGTACACCCTTCCAACGAAAAAAAAAACATCTTCATTCCTTTGGACTGTGCTGAATGCTTGAAATATAGGTTCTTCTACCTGTTCGAGGACTATTCAGGGGCGGTACCGGTGCTGGCAGCTTCACGCGATCGAATCCATAGTCTGGCAAGTACCGACTAAAATGCGCAAATTTGCACACCTTTCTGACCATGTGGATCATAGAGAGAGAAAATTCTTGCAAGCAATGTAAGTGATTTAGAAATGCTCCGCCATCCCTCGGAGAGTTCCTGCAAACTGACGTATAGGCAGAGTAGGAGAAGCAAGTTGAAGAGCGGTGATGTTATTCGGCCCTTGCACACCCTCAGGAGGGAACTTCGCCAGCTTCATCACCTGTTTGAGAGCTACAAGAGCCTCATAAGGCGCATCTGTAGACCTAGATGCGGCGACGGCCACAAGCAATGTCCCTGTGCTGCTTCTGAGTCACTAGGCGGCCTATCGGATGAAGTCAAGATATCCTCGTCAGCAAGGGGTCGCTTTGAACGACTCGAGGATCGGTTGCAGTTGTTGATGCTGAACACAATGCACGAGTACTTGGATGAGCTGGACGCTTTGTCAAATACGGTAGGCTCTCAATATTCCATACAATACAACGCCGCTATCGAAAGCTTACAGAGATACTACATCTTTTAGTACTTCAACCTGACGGCTCAAAAGGACTCCCAGGCCACCGCCCGTCTGAGCAGGAGCGCCACCCTCCTTGCTAAGCTGAGCGTTTTCTTCCTGCCCATAAGTTTCATGACTAGCTACTTCTCCGTTGAGATACCAGGCCTTGTAGAACACTACACACCCAAGATGTACTGGATCTGCTTCGCTATCATTGCTGGCCTTTCTTTCGTCAGCCTATTTTTCTTTAGCCGCATGTTGGAGTTTGTCATCGACATTCTTGAGGCGTGGACGGACTCTGTGACGAGCAGGTTTCTTGGAATACGGGAACCTGTTGAAAGGAACGACGACTAAGGTAGTGGCGTGGTGAGGGGTGCGGCGATGGTATTGTCGAAGCAAAAGTTTGGTATCGTGGTATCGTTGTCGTCGTATCATAGACTCATGTGTCCGCAGCGGAACTCCAGTACACAACCTTCAGATGAAAAGCAGAGGAGGGATCTCATGTCACCTGCCCCAGGGAACTCAAGAAATCATATCAACGACGAGTTCATCTGCAGTGAAGTTCATCGCATGACGCCAAAGACGACGACTCCGATGCCGGCAACCATTCCAGCCACGGAAGCTGGTGTCGGCCGGGCAGCCGCATTTATCACGACCCCACCCACTGTTGTCGTCTGTGAGCATTGGTCGTATGCTATGCCGTGGCAGGCGCGAGAACTTAGACTGGCGCAAATCGGCGTGGCGGAGGTTCCGACGTCCACCCGGGTGGCGGCGACGGTGGTGCCGCCTCCACCGGGGATGACGACAGTGACGCCGAAGCCTGTATCACCGTCCAGTTGGGTGACGCAGCTTTCGTAGTTTCGGGAGCACTGCTGAACAGCGTCGGAGCACTCGCCCCGGTCAAGGGAAGTGGCGACGAACGGGAACGGGAAGTAAGAATTGGGCACGTATGAAACGGCGGTGGGAGCGGCCGATGCCGTTGTCGGAGCGGCGCCGGTACAGACAGCTCTGTCGGCATAGCGCACGTTAGTTCTTAACGCTCATATGGCTTGCATAAACACAAGAGTTTGCGCTTGAGGTCATTCATACCCAGAGGGACAGCAGGCTGCATTATTGCTGTCATCATATGCGCAGAGCTGCCCCGTCGCGCAACAGATGCCGTCGAAATCCTCGCCCAAGGAACTGGAGCAGAGACTTGTTCCAGCAGGGCAATCCTGGCGCCTAAACAGCAATGCTTCGCCAGCTCGGTAGGCGGCGGTTGGGACTGCAGACTGGGTTCGGGTCGGAGTCGGGTTGGCGGTCGCAAAGAATGGATCTGTCGCAAACAGCAGCATAAGCCGCTTCGTCCAAATGGAAACTTTCATGTCGGAGGTCTGTATGCGTGCTAGTTGCCAGCTACGGGGTTGAGGTTGGATCGCTGTGTGGTTTCCCCCGCTGGTGTCCAAGGTTTCTATCCAAGGTAGGTTATTACGGTACGACAGCTTAGTAGGTGCAGAATGCAAGTGAAGCAGCGTGGGGTGAAGTGAATCAGGCCCCAAAGTAGATGGGAGGCGATAAGAGAAGGAGGCGCCGGGTTACTTTCGTCCATAGCGAGGAAAGCCGCAATGTTTTATTTCTCCAGGTCCTAGCTGCCCCAATACGACGTTAAAGCCTGTCTACATGCATCACCAGCTCGTCGCTAGGCACGGGCATCGCGCCATCCGGACCTTCCCTGTTGGTGTGATTTTGACGGTCGGGTCCATATCCGTACTCTGTCAGCTAGCCAGCCCTGGCAGAGGTCTCCTCCGTACGGTGGGATCGGCTGCGTCGGGCAGTGTGCATCGTGTCAGTAAGACGGCCAACCCCAGCCCCGTGCATGCCTCCTGGGTGGGATGCATGCATACGCTCAGCAAGCCTGTGAGAGAGAGGGCCAAGACGATTGAGGGGGGTTGGGCTTCGCTGGCGGCTGGTCGGCGGGCAATTGGGGAAGATGGACATCCATCCGCATGATGTCATTGGACCATGCCGAGTTGGCCCAGCAACCACCACCTCTCACCGCCGCCACCCTCTCGTCCCAAGACCTTTCACGTCCCTCTCCCTCGGTGTCGTATTAACCGTGTGGTCCCCGAACATGCGCTAGAATCTGTCTGAGCCGCTGGAGCGCCTTCATATCGGTGCTCCCCTGTCCCTGCCCTTGCTCCCGCGCCTTCTCGACTTCCTTTTGGGCCTCTCGTACGAGAGAACCGAGATCTCCCCAGACCTCGTCTGTGTAGCTCGTAAAGACGTCGCGCCAACTGTCCATCCACAGCTCCTTTGCTTGTTCCGGGTCAACATCGCCGAAATGATATTGGATTTCAGCAAGGTTGTCTCCCATCAAGAGGTTGGGCTGGAAGTCAAGAAGCATGGTCCAATTCGAGCTCGTTCCTTCGCTGGCGCCGAACAATGCCTTTCTCAGTGACGACTTGGTGCAAGGGGATACAGAGGACTCCTCACAGCTGTTATTGTCATCGAACATATGTAGCTCGCTAGGCGTGTCCAGGAGATCCATGACCTGCTGGCCATCTCGAGCTTCTTGTTCACTTACGGCAGATTTGACACACAGTTGAGAGGAGATCAATGCCTGTGGTTGTCGAGGTCGGCTCACGTCATCTGGACCTGCTTGGGCGTCCATAAAGTCGACGAATTGATGTTCGGCCACACTAGATGAGTGGCGCGACTGAAGAGATGTTGGCCTGGAACCAGACCCAACCGTATTCTCATCATGATAAGTTGCCGTGTGTTCTTGGTGAGCGAGATTTTGCGCTGCGATGGCCGGCCACTGTGGTTTTTCTGTGCTTTCGCTGGAGAGGGTGGCCCACCGACTTGTCAACATGGTTCGAGACAGACTGGCAGCTGAAGTGGCCAGACGAGAAGTGAAAGATCCGTTTTCTGATGAGCTGTGACCTTGCTGATTGTCTCGTTGGTCTTGGCCGTCGTCCGGAGGCAGCGATGAAAGGATGGGCTCCTTTCCTTTGCCTTTGGAGTCAGGTGCAGCTGAATGGTCGTCTTGGTTCATCGCAAACGAGCATGGATTTGATTTCCTTTCCCTCTTTCTTCTTCTTTCAATTTCCTGAGGGATAACACAAAAGCGGCAGGAAGGCTTTATGGTCTCATGAATTCCCAGGCGACGCAGTTGGGCGAACGCCAGCTGGAAAACGTAACCGAGGTTCTCCCTCTGTTTAGCGTCTGGATTTTGCAAAGCAGCACGTGCCCAGCCGACCCAAAACGGAAGGATAGTCTGTTAAGCCTCCAATCTCTCAAATCACTACAGGCGATGCTAGTAGTCTGTATGCTGATGGGACCATAGATCTACACAGAAACTCACTGCTACCTGTAAGTAATAATACATGCTTTGCGTCTATAACAATATTGGGCATTAAGCTGGTAAGCTTTGGTAAGGATCCATAAACTCAAAATCTACCGACGTGAGCACAGTGTCAATTATTACATTCTGCAATGTGTGGCAGCATGGCTGAGTGGTCTAAAGCGCTAGACTTGAATTATAACGATTCAGATATCTAGTACCTTCGGGTGCGCAGGTTCGAACCCTGCTGCTGTCGTTTACCATTTCAACTTTTGTTTTTTGTTCCTAACAAACACCCGCCCGCAGGGTACCGTAGCAAGCGTAGGTAGTAGATGAATCCAACGGCCCTAGGCGCTGTGAGGAGGTAGGAATTCGACACATCCTACTAACTACCTCTACTCAGGTACCTCAGGCTCTCACCTACCTTACTTATTACCTATGTACCTAGAGGCTGAGGGGTTTGCAGCGTCAAATATCCACCCAGGTGTCCAGCCCAACCTTACCTTCCTTACTTACTTACCTAAGGCGTCTTCGCATCACCTATCTATACGTACGTACCTAAGACACCTAACTACCTCCCACGCACACACCACACACGTACCCCAACCTCAACCTGGCGCATTCTTGCCGCACCCTGTCTCTTGACTGCCCGCATCTGCGATACCCCCCCTCAATACCGTGCACCGTCCCACGCCTTTTCCAGGTCGTCAGACTTTTGAATCCTAACTTCTGCTCCTGCCTGTCGCTGCATCTGACGAAATCCAGACGTCTGTCGATTTCTGCAAATCCACTCTGCACTCTACCAACGACGTCGACTGGGTACGCCTTCTCACCGTCCAGACCATACCGAACCAAACCACGCCAAACCAATCCAATTTAGGCCACAGCAACCAACCATCTACATCCTTCCTACCCGAGCTTGGTCTCCTCCCTTCCTCTTCGTCTTGCTCGACCGCCCAACCCCGATCGTCGACTTCGTATTCTTTTCTAGGCTTTTAGCAACGCAGTTCGCCCGCCCGCCACAACTGCCCCTCGCTCTTGTCAGCGTCTTGCGTGTTTTTGCACCAGTTGCGCGCCCCCGACTCGACCACAGCCATCAATCATTGCTCTACCTTCTCGCCTCCTGGGCCTGCTTGTGTCGATCTTGTGGCCTGTACCAGCCCTATCAGTCTGCTCCCAACGCTGAACGACAGCATCCCGTCTGCCACACGCCTAGAGCTCGCTCTGCTCTCGACGTGCCCCGCCGCCTCGCTTGATTCCCGAAAGCCCCATATACCATACCAAAGCCTCTCCGGAGCTGGAAAGCAAAGATGGTGGACAGTGACACGAACTCTCCCACGTGGAAGTTCACCCAGTATGTATTCTTCTTCCCCATTCATCCGAGATGCATCTTTGCCCACTTCCATTCCCTCTTCGTCACTTGCCGCGCTCTCGCTTTGGGTGATTGCTCACATGGTACAATAGGTGCTTTGGAGACAAGGGCGATGTGGAGGACATCACCGAAGGTGAGCCGTAGTAAAGGGCCCTCCAGCGGCCAACATGGCAATTCCACACCGCTCAGCCGCCGCTTTCCCACTGTGTCCAGGTTCCATTTGTCTGACGACGTACTCTTCTAGCTGATATTATCTCGACGGTCGAGTTCGATCACACGGGCAATTACCTCGCGACAGGAGACAAGGGTGGAAGAGTTGTTCTGTTTGAGCGAAACGAGACGGTGTGTCGGAGCCAACTGCTGTTGACCCTGAGCCAGGCTAATAACCTCGAATAGAAAAAGACTTGCGAATACAAGTTCCACACGGAATTCCAGTCTCACGAACCCGAATTCGACTACCTCAAATCCCTTGAAATCGAGGAGAAGATCAACAAGATCAAGTGGTGCCGCCGCCAGAATGCTTCCCACTACCTGCTTTCAACGAATGACAAGACCATCAAGTTGTGGAAGGTCTTCGAGAAGTCGCTCAAGGTTGTCGCGGAGAACAACCTATCCGATGACTTAACGCCCGCGAATATCGCCGGTGGCGGCGGTGCACCAAGACAAACCCCAGCCCATCGCTTCAAGAATGCGGAAGATCTCATCATGCCTCGTCTTACCCACCACGACACTGTTGTTGCTGCAGTGCCCCGCCGAACCTATGCAAATGCTCATGCCTATCACATCAACAGCATATCCGTCAATAGCGATGGCGAGACCTTCATCAGCAGCGATGACCTCCGCATCAACTTGTGGAACCTCAACATTCAAGATCAAAGCTTCAACATCGTCGACATCAAGCCAGCCAACATGGAGGAGTTGACTGAGGTTATCACCGCTGCTGAGTTCCACCCGTTGAGCTGCAATTGGTTTATGTACGCGAGCTCGAAGGGGACCATCAAGCTTGCCGACATGCGGGAGAGCGCTCTCTGTGACAGACACGCCAAGCGTATGTCCGCCTCCTTCCTGCCGATCATAGTCTTACTGCTGCTAACATGTTTTATGCCCAAATCCAGTATTTGAACAGGAAGAAGACCCGTCCTCTAGGTCTTTTTTCTCCGAAATCATATCCTCTATTTCCGACGTGCGCTTCTCCTACGATGGCCGCTACATCCTGTCGCGCGACTACCTCACGGTCAAGATCTGGGATATCAATATGGAGCGCCAGCCAGTGAAGACTATTCCAATTCACGAGCACTTGCGCCCACGCCTCTGCGACACGTACGAGAACGACAGCATCTTTGACAAGTTTGAGGTTGTCTTCTCAGGCGATGCCAACAACGTCATGACTGGCAGCTACAACAACAACTTCATGATCTACCCATCCGACCCCGAGAAGGAGGTTGAAGTTGTTTTACAAGCTGACAAGTCTGCATTCAAAGCGAAGAAGGTCGGCGTGCCGACACCCATCAACTCGTCTACAAGCCCAACCGCCACCAACGGCGGCAAGAAGGGAGGTTCTCGTGCTGGCAGTCCTGCTGCTGGAGCTGGCGGCCAAGGCCAACGAATGCGCAAGGAAACTGATGCCGACCAGATCGATTTCAACAAGAAAATCCTGCACATGAGTTGGCACCCGTTCGAGGATAGCATCGCCATTGCAGCGACGAACAACGTAAGCATCTCCCATGGATGGTGACGTCAATATTGCCTCGGATATAATTGCAGGCTAACAACCTTCCTCAGTTATTCGTCTTTTCTGCACTATAGAGTCAGTCAATGAATTTCAGGCCCTCGAGGTCTATATTTTGCGAGGAAGCTCATGGACGGCACATGGCGCAGCAAGGCGTTTTGCAGACGCGGATAGAGGGCGTCGGTTTCTTCGACAAGGTTGACTTGAGACGATGCTTTGCTATCCGGCATCTGTGTCTCGGCCTTGGTCGGCCCAACCCACCGCCATTATGGCCATATAGGGCTGGGAGGTCGAGGAAAGCAGCAGTGCAGAAACTGTTGGACACCGCAGGCCATCATGCAGGTACTTCGGGAGAGGAGAGACGGAAAGGCGCCTGGGGAGAGACAGATATGAAAGAAGCACTACTGATAGATGGGCTCGCTGGCCATGCAACGGTTGGCGAAGCCTCCCTGATTTCCGCAACAGAATTGAAGGCAACGAGATTCTCACATGGCTACGTTTATTGTCTACTATCTGGGCCCATGAACTGAAGCTCCTGATGAGATGGATAATAGGTACGTATCGTGATATACTGCCGTGATCAACTACTTTGTGTGGTGTCGCGTGTGAAGGACGAGTTAGCCAGGATAGGCAAGTGGGGGTCAACCCGCAATCACTTGCAGCGCGCGCCGCGATCTGTCCTCAGCGTCTGGCACTGGTGCCGTCATGTAGTAGCACTTGGACAAATTGCTGGTCGATACTCCGACATCGTGGATCTTTACGGTTACGTGTCTAGCTAGGTACTAAGGTACGTGGGAAATCTTGGCCTGACGCTAGAGATGCGCGATACGTTCGGATAGGTCAGGCTGGAAAAACACCTACTACCTACCTAGAGGAGGGTAATTGTATGCCCCAAGTAAATAAATTGCGCTCCGACTTACCCTTTTTTTTTTTTTTAAACGAAAAAGGTAGTGAACATCTAAGTACCTAAGTAACGCAGGGTGGCAGGTGAATTAGATAGTGGAGGTAACCTAGGTAAGGTAGGCGGGTGGGTAGTGTGCCTTAAGGGACGCTGTGAGGTGCCCAGGACTGCACGGCCAGCTTTGAGTTTCGCACCTGGGCCGATTGTCCAGCTGTCATTGGTCACGTCTTGTCTGTCTCCTGGATACGCTGCACGTTTTACACTTCGACTGCACTCCAACTACAATTTGTTTCTAACAGGCTCCGATAGCCTCAATGAACTCGCCGGCGCCAACTCGAAGACGCGGCCAGCCGCAAGGCACTTCATCGCTCCCGTCGGAGAAGATGGATACCAGCGTCAACGCTCGAGCTCCATACGACAAGTTCGCTAATGGCCTGACCTTGAATGGGCAACAGTCATCAGACGCCGAGAAATCCTTGCAAGGCGCCAGCCGCATCATAGTCGGCCTCTTTTCTCAATGGATTGCCGTCGGTGTCATGCTTGGCCTGATCTTCGGTGGATGCTGCTCTAATGTGCGCTGTCATTGATCAAAATTGATTCGGCCTTTGCTGACTTCGTATCGTCTAGGTCTACGCCCTGGAAGCCATCATCAAGTAAGTGTCAATTAGAAAACCATATCACAGTCACTCCCTCCTTCGTCGCCTGGTCCTGCATGTCGCTCACTTTCTGTTCCTGTTAGGGTCGAGCCTTCGAGTGGAACACTGTTGACGTTTGTCCAATTCCTCTTCGTAGCCGTGACCGGCTACGTTTCGCAGTTCGATCGATCGAGACCACCCTTCTTCTTACGACAGAACAAGGTGCCCCTGCGACGCTGGCTTATCAACATTGTGCTCTTTTTCAGCATCAATGTGCTAAACAACCACGCTTTCAGCTACGATATCTCTGTCCCAGTCCATATCATCCTGCGGTCCGGGGGCAGCATAACGACAATGATCGCCGGGTCTCTATACGGGAAGAAATACTCGCGTATCCAGATTGTGGCTGTTATTCTGCTCACGCTTGGTGTAATTACTGCTGCGTGGTCGGATTCTCAATCCAAGGTAAGGCGCAACGACAAACTAGATGATACAGAGATGCATGCTAACACATTACTTGATTGCAGAGTACAAGCAAGTCAGCTGGGCAGAGTGAACGACCAGCTTTCGGGACTGGTCTGATTATACTTTTCGTGGCACAGGTCCTATCGGCTATCAT